ATCTAGGTGCAACTGATCATTGATCAATTAGGTCGTAGAAATAGATGATAGGGTGGAGATTGGGGAACATCTAGGTGCAACTGATCATTGATCAATTAGGTTCGTAGAAATAGATGATAGGGTGGAGATTGGGGAACATCTAGGTGCAACTGATCATTGATCAATTAGGTTCGTAGAAATAGATGATAGGGTGGAGATTGGGGAACATCTAGGTGCAATTGATCATTGATCAATTAGGTTCGATGTTTTACTGCGTATAAAGATATTTTGACTCCGACATTCAAAAAAGCAAATTTTGAAGGAATGCAACAAGAATTGTTTGTTGTGAATTAAGCAAGTAAATTAATTGGAGATATTAATCAAATGTCCAAGATTCGCACGTTTCTTATAAACAATTGTGATTACAAGTAACAAACCAGGTTCGTCCACAAAGGGTATAAAGGGTAAGATTTTAAAAAGCATTATAAATATAAAAAGTTTAAATTCACTGCAATAATATGGGATTTAGAGGATTATTAAAGATCAAGAAAAATGGGCAAGCAGGAAATTAAGAAACAAACAGGTATATGAAAAGAGGTTGGCTGAAAATGTAAAAATTAATAGTAAAGGATGATACAGGAAGGCTAATAACTGATCATTGTGGGATGTCTGGGTTATTTAATTCTATTTTTTCATCAGTTTTTACTAATGAAGATTTAAGTAATATACTACATCTTGAACAGTTGATAGATGGTAACAGGATCGAACAAGATGATCACATTAATCTGAGCTTGTTAAGAAAAAAATGGGAAGTTTAAAGAATTATGAGGTTCCTGGATCCCATAATATTTATCCAATGGTTTTAATGGAGGTTAAGGATTGTATATATGAGTCACTTGTTTCTATTTTTGTAAGTCCTTGAATAGAGGCCAGGTGCCAGAGGATTGGAAGTTAGCTAATGTTACTCCTCTTTTCAAGGGAGATAACAAAAAATTGTCCCAATAGTTATAGGCTTATCAGTATCAGTACAGTTGTGAGAAGGATTCAGTGTTATGACTCTTGATATTTTTGATCTACATAAATGGCATACATGATGAAATGGTCAATAAACTATTTAAGTTTGCTGATGATATTAAGGTTTTGTGTGTTGCTGTCTGTGAGAAGGATGCTACTTTCTTTTACAAAATAATTTGGATTATTTGGTGAGTTGAGCGAATAAATGACAGATGGCTTTTAATTACACTAAATGCATATCACTTCACTTCACTTTGTCCCTTGGAGCACCACTGACGACTTTGCAACCAGCTCTCCCCATCTTTCCCGGTTTTCCACCGCTCTCTGGGAGTTGACGAACTCCAGACCTGTCCACTCTTTGATGTTGTTTTCCCACCTCTTTTTTCTTCTTTTCCCCCTCACTGTGCCTTGCAAGATGGTCTTTGCCAAACCAGATGACCGTGAGATATAACCATACCACTTTAGTTTGCGTTTTTTTGACAGTGGTAATGCATATGGGATATTGTAAGTATAATTTTGAGGGAATAACCTTAACAGTGAAGAAAAGAACTGTGGTGTTCTACTTAATCAATCTATTAAGTCATCCAAGTAGTGTGCGAGCAAATAGGATTTTAGGTTGTATCTCCAGAAATATTAAATACAAGTGTGTAGATGTTATAATGCTACTGTATAAGTCACTGACTAGGCCACATTTGGAATATTGTGTTCAGTTTGGGGGAATACATTGAATTATTGGAAAGGGCTCAGGGGAGGGCTGATATCGATGATACCTAGGGGTGGAAAAATAGTCATACGAGGACAGGTTGAAATATATGAACTTGTTTTCTTTAAAAAAAAAAGAAATATAGGTGATCTGATTGAGGTCTTTAAGATTGTTAATGGAATTGATAGTGTTGTTGCATCATTTTTTTCTTAATTAATGGTAAGAATGGTAGGAATAGGGACACAAATATGAATTTTGGCAGGTAGTACACATCTTCAGCTATAGACAGTTTTATTTTACTAATAGGTGGTTGGCCTTTGGAATGGGTTGCCTTCAGATGTAGGGGAGGCAGTAAATTCAAATAAATTTATGAGAAGGGAAGACTTGATAAATAATTGAATGATAAAGGTTGACATTATTTTTATCTTAAAGTTTTGTTTAGTGGATGGGACGTTCTATGCTGATCAATGGCCCTTAAAATATATGTACATATTTTACGAGTCTTAAAAATTTTGAGTAAAGACATAGGTTTAATTCTCACGTACAAAGTTTAAAGGATATTAAAATGTTAACCTAAGTGTGAGTCCAAGAAATGTAAAGAATATTAAAGCCACAAAGAATATATAAACAGCACTAAGCAGCACTAGAATACAAATATAGGTTTGAATCCTCAAGCAGACATTTTCGAAAATGTGGTCAATGTTCCAATCTTATCTCAGACAGGCTTAAAGCTTTTCAGATCTTGATAAAGATTCGAAGCTTATCCAAAATAGAAATAATTAAACTGAAACATAAATTAGAATCATTTAATGTTACTCTCTCATAAAGTTTTTTCTTCCCATTACAGAAGGATTGAATGATATTGGAGTGGTGAAATATGACATGATGAATCTGTGGATCGTTTATTTTACCATAATCTTAAATTAACATAATATAATTATGAGCTTACACACTGGGATATCAATGGTGAAAACGCCTTACCATAATTCCAGGATATCAGAAGACACTCAAATATAGCGATGAGCAGAACAGAGAAATTCGCGGCATACTTGTCAAATAGTTCCAGCCAGTACACACCACTCTGAAACACGTGCAGAAAAAGTATAAGTTTCGTCATTTCTAAACTATATAAAACAACCAAATAAGTTAAATATCAGAGAGAAAGAGATAACATTTGAAACATTTAGCACGAAATCCCATGATCGTTAGGAACACCAATAACATTTGAAACAAAATACTTACTCTTGTTGTAAATATAATTCCTCCAAAGAAGCCAAATATTGAAACTATCAGAACCACTATTGTTTTCTTTCCTCTAAGGACAGGGAAGCAGTCCAAAATACCTGTTGTAACACACTCCAGCAAGGTAAACTGGAAATGAAACCAATACATCACTTGTTAATCAGGCAATCTTTTACCGAGCAACACGAAGCAACCCACCGTCAACGCTTATAAACTATGAAATTTCCATATTTAAATATAAATAAAATATTCTAAACAAAGTATTTCCAAAGGGTTGCAAAGATTAGCATTTTTGAAATTTTACGAAAAAAAAATAGAATTTACAATTAAGTATTGTTCGTTTCTTTATTTCTTTTTCTCCGTTTTACTGGTTTAAGATATTTCATATTCTATAATACTATATATTGTATTATAATTACTTAAGATGTAAGTCAATTTTATTTGTAGAAACTCGGCATTTTAATAGATTATCGGGATGTAATCAAAACAAAATTAAAATAATTTACTATAATATTGTAGAATGTGCTGAGATTGTGGTTATTTAGATACACATTTTTACACTTTCTTAGGTTCAAATTTGAAGCTATTCGTGGGGATAGTACACACATGTTATGTTGTCCAGAAACGAACTCAATTATCACATTCTCTTTTCTACGATTTTAAACCCATTCTACTTCAAAAATGGTTTACTAAATACATAAATATTGCATGCTTACCTGACTGTCCAGCCCTAGGGTTAAGAGCATGATAAAAAACAGGAAAGCCCATAAAGGAGCGATTGGTAATCTAGCGACGACCTCGGGATACACGATGAACGCTAAACCAGCTCCCTGATCTACCACGTGCTCCACATCCATGTTCAGCTCATGAGCCAGATAGCCAATTACGGAAAATATAACAAACCCCGCAAATATACTAGTCAGTATGTTACTGATGGATACAATGAGAGCATCTCTGAAACAAATATAAGCAGTAAAAACACAAAATAAAGAGTCCAAGAGTGTCTAGTTCAGAAGATTTTGTTAAAATACACAGCACTACTTTGAGTTTATTAAGTATCTTTAGTTACTTAGGATACCGAAATGAACAATTTAGATAATTACATAAGAACAACAAAGGCGTTGGGATTCGTGTAACAGAAATTATGTTATGTCTCTCTCCTCTTGATTTAATAACTGCGTTAACTTGTTTTGGAACTTATTTGATCAATTGGTCAATAACTGATTGCTCATCATTATTCCAGAACATTCCAATGCATACGGAGTCTTCTTGATTGTTTTAATCTTCTTCTGCTTTTGCACATATTCTCATAAACGTTCAATGATTAGGGGGAAAAAATTCGTAATTTGAAGCATATTTTTCTTTTATTTCTTTAACAGTATTTTCACACAAGCTTGACATTACCAAAGATTATCAAGGCCATAGGAAATGGTAAGGTCAGTCAGGCCATGGCCGGAACACTTTTTCGTAGCATGTATAGCTACAACTTATGTATTAAAACTTGCTTCTTTTTATTCAATACATTACATTGTATGTATGCAGTATTTATAGTTAAAATGACTCAAGACTCAACAATGATAGGGCTTCACTAACTGATGGTAATACTTAATTATAACATTTTGGCACTTGTGTATAAAGTTAAAATCATAAATAATATTTAACTCCTGAGAGGATGACGTTGTAATGTCGAAACATCTAAAGTCGTCAACTTTTTGAAGGCCATAGATAAGCCTAAATAAAATGTTTTTAATTGTATACTAGTTTAACGTTGAATATTATTTATGATTTTTGATGGTAATACATTGGTTTTATAATACTGAGTGATTCGTCTCTTTGGTCGAGATATACCTAACTTTAGGCAAGTCTCCAATCTCATAGCGACTGTATCGAACTTGAAACACAACCTATACCACAGTTAACTGAAGACTGTATGGATTCTGGTTTTAATCTCTCACACGATCATCATCGCACATATTGCCTTCTACGACTTCCAAAAATTTCAAATTATGACTCATCTGTAAGAAACACACTCTCTCAGCTTTTAGTGTCAAATGATTTCTATGCTTGAGCCAACTCTAATAGTTTGGCCTATTTCCCTTCCACATAGTCTTCACTTTACTGTAGTAGTTTTACAAATGCTTAAATCACACTCGCTTGTTTTTAAACTTGTGATGCAAGTTGTCGCTGTCACGCAGAGAAGTTAGCCTAACATGGCTGTCTTCGTTTGCACTATTCACCTTTTTGTTTCCAATTCTTGTGTTAGAGTTAAAGTTGTTTGTGTTATTATCGTTGTTGTTTGTTTGCTACTTCTCTCCAGTGCTCCTTTACAAATTTCCAATTGAGAAGCAGTTGCTCAGCGTCTATGTCCTTTCCAATTAAAGCAAATATCCAGCCACAAATGCCTTCACTAAGCTGATTTGATAATTTATTTCCCCTTTATAACGATAATTATATTGTAATATATAGTTTGGTTTAGTAGCCATCAATGATAATCTTATATAAATATCTGTAATAAAAATTAAATAATTTATTAAATAAAATTGTATTCCTATTGCTGTTTAACGTATTATAAACAGCATACAACAGATTATATTGCAAGCAGTAGTAAACATGTTATTGCCATGGGCTAAAGGAAGAAAGACACAATTTAACCGGAGGTTTTCTTAACTGATAGTTCATACTAATAGTAATATTATTTGTAATGATAGGTCTTATTAAATGGTAGCTAATATTCATGGCAATCCCTTTGCAATAATAGCACTTACTAACTGTTGATTCACACTGTTGGTAATACAATATTGTTTGTAATGACAGGTTTTACTAACTGATAGTTCGTGCTGGTAGTAATACATTGTTATTTGCAATATACGTCTAGTTTTAGAACATATTTCTAGACTATTATTATACACGTTAATCATTAGCCACGACATAGCAGCTCTTAGAATGGCTCTGAGTTTGTTTGGTTTTTATTTGGTTTTCCAAGTACAAACTTTTAGCTCATAGCTCCATCATCTCTTGACCGACTTGAGATATAATTACAGTTTTCGACTCATAGATTAATTCACTCTAATCCTGCCTAAAATAATTTCAATTTTAGGGTAGGCTGGTAGATATTTTGATGTGTAATAAAATCGAATCGGGTATATGCACGCCCCATGCTTTGTATTGCTGGCGCACAAAAATATAGCTAATAAAAAGGGAAAAAGAAAAATGTGTCAGAGATTAATTTACTCTAATCCTGCCTAAAAGAAGTTCAAATGCCGCTGCTATTGAGGATTCCCTCTTGTTTCTAACACTAGATGACGCTAGTTTGAAACAGTGTACCATTATATCATAAGAGTTCAAACTATTTAGACAGCTACTGTTGGTACTCTCACGATACTGGAAGATTATTTATTGTAAAGAATAATGCACACACAATTTTATCTTTCTTTATGTAAGATTTAATTTACAGTTTTTTGAGGAATTAAAAATCTGATTAATTTGTTATAAAATAAAAGATTGCTTACAAAACACAACTATGACTGATACCTTCTTACCTTGAGACCAACTGCAACAGACAGATGTGTCAGTTAGACTACCTTGAGACCAACTGAAACAGACAGATGTGTCAGTTAGACTACCTTGAGACCAACTGCAACAGACAGCTGAGTCAGTTCGGCTACCTTGAGACCAACTGAAACAGACAGATGTGTCAGTTAGGCTACCTAGAGACCAACTGCAACGAACAACTGTGTCAGTTAGGCTACCTTGAGACCAACTGCAACGAACAACTGTGTCAGCTAGGCTTCGCGTTAACATACACGAGAACTATTTGCACTAACCGTTACTAATTTTAAAGTGATAGGCTAGAAGGAAAGAAATTGGTCATTACTAGCCCCACCAATTCTTGGGTCACTCTTTCTCAACGAATAGTGGGATTGACCGTACCATCATAACGTCTCCACGGCTTACAAGGCGAAGATATTCAGTGACTGGTTTTAATTCCGCGATGCACGGAGTGCAAACCGAGCGCCCCTAACTATCAAGCCATGCTAGACCACAACAGTTGGCAATAACGCCCCTAACTATCAAGCCATGCTAGACCACAACAGTTGGCAATAACGCCCCTAACCATCAAGCCATGCTAGACCACAACAGTTGGCAATAAAGTATGATTAAAATATTTTGACTAGTTGTATTTTCAGATCCATTGCTGCTAGTCATAAGATGTGTGATTGACGTTGTTTTATAATAGTGATTTAGTAGATTCGAATTATTCGTTAATTGTTTAATGCAGGAATTCATATAAACAGATTAAAGTTCTTCATTCTACAAAGTCCATAAAGCAACTGACAAATATTACAAGTTAATCCATAGCAGCCGAAGCTAGCCTTACAAATAAGACTCTTTATTCTTTATCACAGGTAACCATAGAAAAAAGGTAGACGTACTCCTCGCTCCAGCACGAGCTCGCCTATGATATGACCCAAGCAGCCGAACCACTTATTATCGAATCTCACAAACCAATAAGCAAAGAAAGGTCATGCTAGAGAGTACAGTTGATACACTTCCTGCAATGCAGCAACAAGAAAAGAAAGGTAAGTTAATTAAACAGTAAGGCAAGATTTTTATTTTTCCACAAGCAAACATTTAGCAAAATAGTGGTTTATGAGTGGTATTGAAAAAAAAAATAATGTATACCATTTTCATTATAGAATTTTCCTGATTGAAATAATGAAAAAAAAAACGATTTAATGTGGGTAACCAGCTGCATTGTTCGATGTACGTAGTCAGCTACATTGTCAGATTTATGGGAATAACTGTTCGTTTAGATAGAGATAAAAAACAGAATTGTTCGATGAAGGTAGTCAGCTGCATTGTCAGATTTAGGTAACTAATTATTTATATAGAAGTACGAAACTAAATTGTTTGATGTAAATAAGCAATTGCATTGTTAAAAGTAAGTATGTAGTTTCATTGTTAGATTTAGATAACTAATTATTTGTACAGAAGTAAGAAATTAAATTGTTTGATGTAGGTAGTCAGCTGCATTGTCAGATTTAGGTAACTAATTATTTATATAGAAGTACGAAACTAAATTGTTTGATGTAAGTAAGCAGTTGCATTGTCAGATTTAGGTAATTTATTGTTTACATAGAGGTAAGAAACTAAATTGTTTACATTGTTAAAGTAAGTATGTAGTTCCGTTGTTAGATTTAGGTGAGTAGCTCACTGTTTACATAGAGGTAAAAACAAATTGTTTGATGTAAGTAAGCAGTTGCATTGTCAGATTTAGGTAACTAATTATTTATATAGAAGTACGAAACTAAATTGTTTGATGTAAGTAAACAGTTGCATTGTCAGATTTAGGCAAGTTATCGTTTACATAGAAGTAAGAAACTAAATTGTTTGATGTAGTTAGTCATCTGCGGTGAAAATGTAAGCCTGCATGGTTGAATTTAGCTCTGATTCTGCAGATATCCCTGGATACAGTTGCATCGCTGGATACGAGTAAAAAAAAAAAAAAGTGCATCAGCATAAGAAATATTTTTAAACTAATGAATAAAACTAGCTGTTCAGCCAAAAGGTTAGATGTTTTCGACAGTCCTTGTTATTGTAATTATCTCTTTTCGCTTTTATCGTCATAATAAGATAAGCTAATGCTGTATCCGTTTTTTTATGAGAAAACTACACAACGTTTAGTTTGTTAAACCATTAGAATACTCACTTATAACAGTTGTTGTAGAAGGGATTGTATGAAGACAACGTTATGAGACCACCCCATGCTGGACTAAGGGCAAAGAAAATCTGAACAGCAGCATCACCCCAAACCTAGACGATAGAGTGAAATAAGTGTTAACACTATTATTTTATAATATCTTCCAACAACACAACATCTTACAATCTTCTTTCATTACACGTGCTGTTTAAAAAAAATCCTAAAACAATTTTCTCATCAACTTAAAACGCAGAACTTATATTCATATGGAATTCAAGGTGCTTTGAATATTGTAACGTTGTTTGTTTAGAAGATAAAATGTTACTGTAACATTTTTAGTTTAGAGATAAAGTATTATTTTAACGTTATTAGTTTTCTATTTAAGTTCTGCAAACTCTCTGCCCAAAAATTATCATGTAACAAAAATCCATTCTTGTGCAAACCTAGAATCAAAGACCTTAATAGTCACCATACTCAATTACTGTATCGCATAAAAGCCTAAGACAGTGTTAACTTCAAACATTTACCATTTATAATCTCAACAAAATATATTTATGATATTTTTATTTCTAAACAGAGAAATCTAATACTCATCATAATTAAAGTAGTTATCAAACTCAAGTTAGATGAGATTAAATAAACAATTTTATGCGCTTACAACTTTGAATAATATTAGGCGACTTTTATAAAACACATAAGCTCAAGTACTCGGAGAAAAGGCACCTTCTATCTGAGATTTAGGAAAATATATTCAAGTCATAAAAACTTTTTGTTAAGTATAGAATATCATGAATCACTTATCATTTGTGCCATGTACATGTTATGCACAAAATGTAGGATATCATGTTCTCTATATATACTGCTGTGAGTGAAATGTTAAATGTCTTATATTTCAAGCAGCAATTACTATATGGTAGATGTACACTAATACGAATTGCGTATAAAATAATCCATGGTAACGTAGAATATTTATCTTGTATAATAATGCGTTCTAATCTTTCTAAGTAAGAACGTAAGAAAGCCATATTTAAACTAGCTATACACATTATCAGGTTTATTTTTAGTTTCGCTCTAAGTAAGTAGGTTGTTCTGTTCGAAAGTTAATATTAGACACTTATCAGAGGTAAAATATCATCAGTATGTTATGGAAGAACACCACATGGATGATTTAAACATATTATCAGATATATAATGTTGTGTCTTACAAATGCAATTTTGTATTTACATAAACTTTCATTTGTCTTACGTAGAATATCAAGAGCTAAATATACAATAATGTTCATCACAAATACAATATCATATATATACATGTATTTATATGTATAACTTATCGTATATAGAGTCAAGCACAATATATCCAATATTATGTTTAAGATGTTGAAAAAGATGTGCTGGACATACAATGTTGATTATCAAATGAATATTATTTTCTTCAGATGTAGAATATTATCTATTAGAATTAGTGTTATGGCTTGATGTAGATGTACGATGTTATGCATGCAACAGATGTTAAATATCATTCATTAGATTAACGTAAAAGACTGATTTATAGATCAAAGTTAGAATATATTATGTCTGATGTAAGATATTATGAACTTAATGTGTAATGCTAAACGTAAAAACAATGCGAATAAAATGTTCAATGTTATTTGCCATGTGTGGAATTTCATGTTCCAACTATTAAGAGTTCATGTTTGAGATATAACATATTTAATACATAGATTACCATGTTCTTACACGAAGGATGCTATGGGTTAGGTGTAGAATGTATCAACCTTCAGAGGTAGAACATATCAACTTACAGATATAGGATTCATAAAGTTTAAGATGTAGAATATATCATGTATAAGAAGTTCAGTATGATGAGCTATGTAATGAGGTTCGTGGGTTCGATGAACATTGTTAAGTCAGCTCTAGAATATCATGTATTAGAAGTTCAGTATGATGAGCCATGTAATGAGATTCGTAGGTTTGATTAACCCTGTTATGTCAGCTCTGGAATATCATGTATTAGAAGTTCAGTATGATGAGCCACGTAATGAGATTCGTAGGTTTGAGTAACACTGCTATGTCATCTCTAGAATATCATGTATTAGAAGTTCAGCATGATGAGCCACGTAATGAGATTCGTGGGTTTGATTAACCCTGTAATGTTAGCTCTGGAGTATCATGTATTAGAAGTTTTGATGAAAGGATATCCATTTTGAAACTCTTACATCAAGGGCATCTTTGTATTGAAATATAACGAAAATCAATTATTTTCACAATTTACGAAAAAACATGGGCTATAGCCTTGGCTTTTCGTTAAAAAATATGAATTTTTTTGAAAAT